GTTAACAGTATGGACTTATTTTGCGCAAAATGAATATATAGAAATACGCAGCTTGGTCGCAGATTGTATGAATCCTAAGTGCAGGTATTAATGTGTGACAAATGCATGAGTGCTATTTAGTGATTAATTGTGTTTATGTTTTACAGGAAACGGCATGTGGTAAAGGCTCCTTGCCACATATGTAGGCAAGAAGATAGGTTTCTGTATTTCCATACACAGTAGTCTGTATATGAGATTCACAGAGAAATTACTTCTGTGTAGACATTTTTGTCTTACATGAGATGCCTTTAAACACATAACTGTTATTCATTAGCTAGATTGATAAATGCATCTATTCAGCTTTTACACAAATAACTGTAATGTTTGTCTTTTTTCTTTCTTTTTGATACATCATGTTTTGCTGCTTTCTTAGTATCTTTGAGTGGTCGTGCACTCCTATGCATGTATACTCAAAAGTCGCTCCCATTAGATTCAGTTGGATTTACTGCTAGGGATATGGATAAGTGGGTGCGAGGGTCTTTGTGTAGAGGTTTGCAACCTGAAAAGTTAAATAAATTGCATGGTATTCTTTCATCTTTATGCAGCGTTAGAAGGAAGTTCCCTTGATTATTATTATTTTAGAGAGCAGAAAATTGTATTTTGGAGGGTCTGATAGGATTACAGTTTGAAAAAGCACACAAAACATTTGAAATCGGTGCTTGTGTTTATCTTCCCTGTATTCTTTTATTCCCCCCCCCCTTTTGGAGCGGTGAAGTTATTTAAGCAGGAAAGGCCTCACGTGTGCCCTTTTTGATTTTATGAATGGGCTGTGTCAGGCTGGAGAGGAAATCCCTAGAAGGCACCCACTTGAGGGAATGCCCGGGACTTGTCACTCACTCCCACCCCCATGGGGGATTAGTAAAATGAAAAGCCGTAATTTGACCTGATTGGAAAGAGTGGTGAAACACTCAAGATACCTTCCCCCTCCCCTCAGCTTTCTTCTCTTGCACATTCACTGAGTGAGCCAAAAATAAATTGTTGCATTACGGTGGACTCTTGGGTATTGCCTTGATCCCTGAACTACAAATCATTTTATCCTCCACTATGTTACATACTTAATAACATTTTCAAACATTACTTGGCTTTATGAAACAGGTTACCTGCAGTTCAGAAAATGTTATCAATTTCTTGGCTGCTCTCTGAATGGAATGGCTATCCAAAACACAGTATTGTGTGGAATTGTAACATGTTTCCCTCAAGGGCACATGGTTTCTTTCTTGTTCTTTTGCCTTTTCTTTTTTACAATGCAGGAGATTGGTATTCATTTTAAACAGCTGAAACTATCTTGAGGGGTTTTGTTTTCATATTTTATTGTATTCTTTGCAGCCTCTGTTTGTTTTATCAGCTATTTCTGCTGCATTTGTTATATACTTGACTTTGTTCAAGGATGCATTTAATTACATGAAGACCAAACTGTATCTGTCTATCTCTTCGCCATATACACTGTTGTCTAAAAATATATATGGTATACATGTGATGAAATTGTGCTTTATCAAATAAAAGAAAAAAAATGTACAAAAGTAACTGTTGCGTTGCATACTACTTCCAGAGTACTTGATCACCAAGCTGAAAGAACTCACAAAATCTTATTTTCTTTACTGAACTTAATTTACCCTGACATATCCTACAGTAACAATGTATAATTATTGATAAGTGTTAATTGCTTATTAATTGACAGCAAGTGTGATGTACTGGCTAGAGGGTCAGACTAAGACTCAAGACAAGAGACTTGGGTTTACATCCCTCCTTGGCCATGGAAGTTTACTGGTGGAGGGAAATAGTAAACTATTCATTGAATACCGCACACCTTGAAAACTCTTAGGGCGATCTAAGTTGGAATTCACTTGAGAGCACATAGCAAAAACAATGGACTGTTGTGAAACAGAAATATTTTGATTAGAAAAGGAAATAATTGGTAGAAGAATATGTAAGAGGACAAGGTCCCATGTTAAAATGGTTTATGGTTATAGAGAACCATGCAAACTGGGCCAAGAATATTGTTTAAAATATTACATCATGTTACATAAAAGATATGATTTGGGCTCTGTAGTTCATAGATAGAGCAAGTACAGTAGTTTATCTTTTTCTGTTGGAATGCATTTCTAGTATAATATGCTGACAATAACTTGCATTTGGACTTAGGCCCTGGCCATACAAGGGAAATGTTTCTATTTCTTCTGATACTTTCCATGCCTCTCTTGTAGTGAATCGTGGTCACGTGGTTTATATCCCAGGATGAACATCCCAAAAACCTTTAGCAGTACAAATTTATTTCCTCCTATTTGTATTGTTATAGCCAGCTACACCATGGTACCAGTTTATTTTTTTCTCTTGAGAAAAAATAAACTGGTACCATGGTGTAGCTGGCCATAAGTAAGTGGTGGATGGCTATATAACATTTTCCTCATGTGACCAGGGCCTCAGTCATATTTTAAGCAGACTCATTTACCGGTAAATTAAAAGAAACCCAATTCAGTGTCAGAGAGAAAAAAGAATCCAAAAACTGGTGCTCAAGTACATCAGCAAACTTAGGTGGTAGCCACCTTTCATTGGATAGCCTCTGGTATGTAAAGTGATTGTGGAGGGATTGAAGAGATATGTTAGCCATCAGAAGAGAAACATGGTTGAAGCAGCCCAAACATATGTTAAACAGTGGCCCAAATCCTCATACTTTAGCACAGTAAATCACACTACAGTATGCCCATTGAATCAGTTTATACGTTCCATTCAATTGCGCTTACTCTAACAGTGGCTTGCTATGTTATTCTTTGAGAAGAATATTGACATGTAAATGAAAATAATAAATATAAATAATAAATTAAAATACTTTAAAAGCAGTTAAGCGTGTAACAATATTAAAAGCCAGCATTAAAATAATTTTAAAGCATTTTAAAACTGTTTATAATTTCTAAATTCAATAGATGCAGCATTCCTAAAATTCTCATTTATTGTTTAGAACTATGCCTGAAAGGTTTGTCTCATCCTTAGCTGTAATGAAGAGGTAATGAAAAACACAGCTTTTCCCCCATCAGCGAATGTTGGATGACAGCCTAGCTGTCTGGGGTATGGTAGGATCTGAAAACTGAGCAACTGTGAGAAGCTAGTTCAATAACTGAGTGATCATTTGACACTGGCCTTTTTTGGGAAAGAGTGCTGCCATCTAGTGCTTCATTTCCCATTCTCTCATTAGTAGTGCCATGATGTCATTGTTTACCAATTTATTTTTTGGTAGGAAAGAATTAGCAATTTACAGAATACTAAACCAATGTAGGGTTTGTCTTGAAAGCTTTCTATTTACCCATTGTTGTCCTTCATGTGCCTTGTATTTGGTTAGCGGTATCAGTTAGTGGACATGCAATGTTCTCCAAACATCATGTCCATGTTCCCTATTCTCATTCACAGCTTAGTGGTAATATATATAGCACCCAGGACAGTTAGAAAATTCTGCATAATGGGTTGTTGAGAGGAGAATGCTCAGTCAACAACTGAGATCAGATGCTCGCTTGCAGCTCTAATAGCAATAGTGGCATGGTGATTCCTGGTGTTTTCTGGTTTTGGAATCTGGAATCTTGATAACCTGAAAGATTGCATGAAGGGAAAAAAACACTGTTTTCCTGCTCTTCCTACTTCATTGTTAGCTTGGGCTTTTTCTTGGTCATGTAGTTTGGATCTCTTTCATCAGGTTCCCTTTTACTAGTGTTCTCATTTGTACTGATGTAGTTCTATGGTGCCCTATGGGTTGTGGTATTTATGTTCATTTTCTGGGTCTCAGCCATAACTTATCAGAATTCAGTTCTTTTATCTGCCTCAGCTGTGGGGGGCGGGGGGAGCATAGACTTAAATTCTGTTTCCCAGTTGAGTGTCAGTCTTATGCTACCTGTTCTGTATGTCATTATTAATGATTGATCCAATGTCTGAGTTAATATATATAGGATTCTAACTAGTTGCCATATTTCCTCCACCATGTCCCCAGCTCCAGCTGTTTTTGCCCCTTGCAGTTGATAGTTCCTTATATGCACCATTAATATCTGTTGTTGTTTAGTCATTAAGTCGTGTTCAACTCTTCGTGACCCCATGGACCAGAGCACGCCAGGCCTTCCTGTCTTCCACTGCCTCCCAGAGTTGGGTCAAACTCTACTCATTAGTATCTACTCTGACGTAAATCCAATATTTGCCAAAAGTGTGCATTCTGACAGCGCAGCAGAATTTAGAACAGCACCTGCCACACTTTTGGTTCTTTTTAAGCCATGTGTTCCAGTGTTAAAGCTCGTAGTTATAGAAAATAGTTAAATAAAAATGCAACAGTTAAAGCCTGAGGGATATTTTAAATGGGCTCAGAATAGTTACTACACTAGTATGTAAGCAGTGCACCAGAGCAAACCTTGCATTAATGCAATTCCAGTACAACAGGGGATTAAATATAGCTTTTTCTATCTCAATTTAAACAAAATGAAAATACTGTATCGAAAATACATCATATTTAAAATTCTCACTTCTCATCAGTGGCTTAATAGGGTTAATAATGCCACAGGACATTCATCTAATAAACCCACAAAATTAAGTGCAAAGAACACAAATAAAATGCAGAAATTGAGACCTTTGAAATGTCATAGTAGCTTGAGTGGAGATTTGGAGAGCTCCGTGAGGGCTTCACTGGAGGAGACTTTAGCAAGGGCTCACTTGGCAGTTACACTGCAGTAAGAAACCATCAGCTTGAATTCGAGTCTACATATATTGTCTCTTTAATTGCCTCGCTTTCTGGAAAAATATGATAAATTTGGGGATAGTTTTAGTATTTGTCATACTTTTATGTGTCAAGAGAAGCCCAACACTTTGTTGAAAAGCTGAGGCAAATTTTCCCAAAGTAAAAGTTGTTCTGCTGCCTTCTGATATCTTTCACGTTTTGACCGGGGTATTGGCTTCAACTCCTTAACCAATTTCCCCTCCCTTTTTCTTCTCAGGATTTATCGGGCTCCATTGATGACCTCCCTACGGGAACTGAAGCAACTCTAAGTTCTGCCGTTAGTGCATCAGGTTCCACCAGCAGTCAAGGGGAGCAGAGCAACCCAGCACAGTCACCTTTCTCCCCTCATGCCTCCCCCCATCTCTCCAGCATTCCTGGGGGCCCTTCCCCTTCCCCTGTGGGCTCTCCTGTTGGAAGCAACCAGTCAAGATCTGGCCCCATTTCTCCTGCAAGTATTCCAGGTAAATGGCGGGCTTTTAAAAATCCTGCTGTTTTCTAATGTTTTTTTGCCTTTTAAAATGTTTCATTTAAAATCCATATAACTAGCATTTCTTCACAAGTTTCACATTTTCTGTCATTCATATTAAGCAATTCAGATAGGGGATGTTACTGCCTTGTGTGGCTGCAAAATCAAGATGTTCAGTCATTTCTCCACTGTTTGCACAGAGATCAGTCTCTCCAAAAGCATCAGTCATAGAGTCGTTCGATGTTCATGGCACCACCTTTCCTACAAACAAAAAATATGGCTGCAATCTTGACTCGTAGTGTGGGATTTACATTTGAGTAAGCATTACAAAAGATTGCATTGCATCATAGTAACCTTGAGAGAGGGGGGTATACTTCTGTTAAATGTTCACAACATATATTTGTTCCTTATTTTGGTCAAATTGTCTCTTCCTGCCCACTATACCTTGTTTGTTCTGACCTCAGGCCTCTTGTATTGCCTCCTGCTGTGTCTTGCTGTGAGTTTCTCCATGTGACACAGATTGGTTCCCTCAGTCATTATATCTCTAGCAGGTCACTGTGAAACAAGCAGCTGTTGCGTTGCTGATAGCTGTGACAGGCCAGTACCAAAATGTAGCAGAGGCTTCCATTCTAGGAAGGCAGTTAAAATTAAGGTGTTGCATTTCCAAGGATTTTCTGGCATAGAATCATCCCGTACCTCCTCTCTTTTGCATCTGAGATTAAGTTGGCAGCTATAGCGATGCCAAAACCTACACAGAACCCAGATTCTAAATGGCTGGTTCTGACCCATATAAAGTGTAAATTTTCCCTCTGTGAGGCAAGTATTCTCCCTCATATTGTTCTTGATCATCTGTTATGAATATAAAAGATATTGGTAGAGCCCCAGTATTAGAACACCCCATAACTCATTAAGCATTCCTTTGTTTTCCTGTTCTGTGCCGTTGGTGGTGATTGTTGGCAGTGGTGTTATACTACACTGAAAAACTTCACAGATACTAACCGTGGTAGGTTGGCATTTTGAACTTTTACACTTCAACCACTAATAGCATCTCTCATTTGGGAATGTAAACTATAGTGCAGTGAACAAGTACTTTTATCAGTCCAAGTCATCCTGCTAGTAAGAGAGCTATACTCTAACATGTATATTTGTGCAAACAAACAGTGGCCAAGTTCTTGTTCTGCACAGCTTGTGTGCAGTGACACTGATTACATGCACACTGAACAAGGTGCAGGACGGAAGCAGGAATTTTCAACTACCCAAAAAGTCTCTCTGACAGTAACATTATCACCTTTCATAGAATTATAGAAAAGTGAAGTTGGAAGGGGCCTTCAAGACCATCAAGTCCAAACCCCTGCTCAATGCAGGAATACAATCAAAGCATATGTTATAGGTGATTATCTAAGTTTTTCTTGAATGCCGCCAGTGTTGGAGCAGTCACCAACTCCCGAGGTAACTGGTTCCACTGTCATACTGCTCTAACAGGAAGTTTTTCCTGATATCTGGCTTCCTTTAACTTGAGCCAGTGTTGTGTGTCCTACAGCTTAGGATGATCGAGAACAGATCCTGCCCCTCCTCTGTATAACAGCCTTTCAGATATTTGAAAAGTGCTATCATATCACCCCTCAGTCTTATTTTTTCAAGGCTAAACATGCCCAATTATTTCAGCCTTTCCTCATGAGACTTGGTTTCCACCCCCTGATCATCCTTTTTGCCCTCCTCTGAACTTGTTCCAATTTCTTAGCATCCTTATTTTATTTATTTATTTATTTATTGGCTTTTACCCCGCCCATGTAGATTCAACGAATCTACTTTGGGCAGCTTACAGTCCGAATAAAAACAAGAATTAAAACAAACAATATCAAACAGCATAGAGATAAACAAAATCCAAGATGATAAGACATAGGGAACTAAGAAGTGGAAGGGGAGAAGGCTTGTTTGAAGAACCAAGTCTTCAGCTTGTTCTTAAAAACTCCCAGTAAGGGTGCCAGGCAAATCTCAAGGGGCAAGATGTTCCAGAGGCGAGGGGCCACCACCGAGAAGGCCCAGTTTCTAGTTCTCTCCTCCCGGACCTCTCTCAGGGTCAAGCCCCTGAGCCGCCCAGCCTGGCTAGATCAAGTAGAGCTAGGTGGGAGCAGGTACTCTGTCAGGTATCGGGGTCCTAAACCATTTAGGGCTTTATATGTAAGCATTAATACCTTGAAGTAAATGCAGAAACGAATGGGCAACCACCGTAAGGCTGCCACACAGTGGAGGAAATGTGATGATATTTTTTAACCCAATTAATAATCTGGCAGCCATGTGCTGGACCATTTGTAGTTTCTGCATCAGTCTCAAGGGCAGCCCCACATAGAGTGCATTACAGTAGTTAATCTCGAGATTATGAGCGCATGGATCAGAGTGGTGAGCGCCCCAATATCAGGATAGGAACGCACCTGAGCAATCCACCAAAGATGTAGATGGGCAGTGCAGACCATGGACACTACCTGGGACTCCATGGTAAGCGCTGGGTCAAGATGGACCCCAAAGCTGTGGACCACACTCTTTGTGGTGAGAGTCGCCCCCCCCAAAAAAGAGAGGGAGCTTCCCAAACCACTGATAGGAGGGGTGCCCACTCTCAAAACCTCTGTCTTGTCTGAGTTCTGCCTCAGTCCATTCTCCGGCATCCATTGCAGTACAGCCCCCAGGCAGCGCTCAAGGGGCACAGTGGCATCCACTGCTGTTGGAAAAAAGGAAATGTAATGCTGTGTGTCATCAGCATACTGATGACATGAAGCATCACACCTCCAGATGACCCCACCCAGCAGCCTTATATAGATATTAAACAGCATTGGAGAGATGATCAAGCCCTGTGGCACCCTGTAGTTGAGAAACCACGGGGCCGATACAGTCTCTCCAAGCCATCCCAGGAGGATACCGTGGTGGACTGTATCAAAGGCAGCTGAGATATCAAGGAGAACTAACAAGGACATTTTGCCCCTATTGGCCTCCCTCAAAAGGTCATTAAGCAGGACAACCAGTGCCATTTCCATACCGTGACGCGGACTGGAATGGATCCAGGGCATTGGTTTCATCCAGGAGAGCCTGAAGCTGATTGGCCACACCCTCTCTACAACCTTGCTAAGGAAGGAAACATTGGCGACAGGCCTATAACTGCCAATCCTTCTTGAAGTGTGGTGTCCAGAACTGGACACAGTACTCAAGGTGAGGCCTAACCAATGCTGAATACAGGGGGACTAGCACCTTGCGGGATTTGGAAACTATGCTTCTGTTAATGCAGCCGAAAAGAGCATTTGCCTTTTTTGTAGCCGCATCACACTGTTGGCTCGTATTTAGCTTGTGATCTATGACAATTCTAAGATCCTTCTCGCTCGTAGTTTTGCTGAGCCAGGTATCTCCCAACTTGTAACTGTGCAATTGGTTTCTTTTATCAGGGTGCAGTACTTTGCACTTATCCATGTTGAATTTCATTCTCTTGTTTTCGATCTAGTGCTCCATCATATTAAGGTCCTTGTGAATTTTATTTCTGTCTTCTAGGGCATTAGCTATTCCACCCAATTTGGTATCATCTGCAAACTTGACAAGCATCCCCTGCACTCCCTCATCCTAGTCATTAATAAAAATATTGAAGCGCACCGGGCCCAGGACTGAGCATCGAGGTGTCCCACTTGTTACCTCTTCCCAGTTAGAGAAGGGCCCACAAATGTAGCTTGTGGAACAGGATTTTGCCCTTTTTCTAGCTAAGGCATTTTCCCCTGGAAGTACTTTGGCACATAAATATGGGGAAGGAGAGAGTTCACCCATACATTTCTGTACATCATATAGTTTTTCTTCATTTGTGACTTACATTTTACTCTTACAATCCATGATGAATCTTATAATGAAATTTCTGTATTAGTACTAGTGCAAATAGATATTTGTCATTTAAGAGACTTGATCTTTATCTAGTAATATGATAGTCAAGCAATGGAAGCTGACATGGCACAATTTAATATTGCTAATGCCAGAAAATTGAGTGGGTGCTAACTTAGCTTGCCTCCTCAACCAAAACGTTCGGTTTACTAACCCAGTAAAGATGTTAAAAAGCAAAAGGCTGGGAGCATACTGTATAAGTCTGTGGCCAGTTCTCACTCCTTGGTGAGATTAGGGTTACATCTGCACCAGTTGCTACAATAACCACAGAGGACAAATTGCCCAGAATAGTTAGTCCTTCCCACATCTTAATTTCCATGCTTCTTGGGATCACAGTGTAAGGACCTAAATAGTCGGTAGTGGAAAGAACTTTATTAAAATTTCGACAGCTATAAATTGAGACTCAATCTCAGTTAGCCAAATCAAAGAGGAAACTGTAGATACATATGTTCACCAGTTTAAAATTTGTTCCTTTTTTTCCCTTTTGAATAAAATACAATGGCATTTCTGAACATATATTTGTATAAGTTATGTTTCTCCTGTTACTTTAAACAAGTGGTAATTCTGAAATAGTACACTGGGGAAACTGCCATTTTTCCACTTTAAAAAAATCTTCATTGTGTTAAAACATTTCATTCAGAGAACTTTTCCAGGGTTAAAAATTAAAATAAAATTGTCTTGCAGCAGCTTTGTGCAGTGAGATTCATGCTGTTTATTGGCAAGTACATAGTGCAAAAATGACATTGTTATGCTTTCTCTCATGGGTAATGCACAAAATAATTATGCAGCAGTGTTACAAATTTCAGAATGTTACCATAGATCAGTATCAGTGTGTCTGGAAAATATTTCACTGTTTTACATGGGAGGAATTTTTACATTCTTGATGGATTGGAACTACAACTAGCATAAAGACTTTAACATGATAGTATGTGCTCGGCCTACATGTTGTGGATAACCAGTTACTCAAGAAGGATGATAATTCTAAAGAATGTCTGGCATTTTTCTGGTATGACAAAACTGATGACAAGGAAGCTATCAGTAAATTCAGAGGAAGAATGATTCACACTGTTCATGTTGGTGTTCAAT